CACAAGAGGAGTGGGTCGATGGATGAAGGGGATTCGTCGACGGCGACGTCGTCGGATTACGCGAAGAAGGCGATGGCGGCGGAGAAGCTGGCGGAGCTCTCGTTGATTGATCCTAAGAGAGCTAAAAGGTGCCGTCTTTTTTAGCTTTTGATGGTTAATTTTGTGTTTTAGTTGGAAATTTGGGGTTCTGGATTAGGATTGTGATCTTTTCTACTTAATTTGTTAGTGAATCTAGTTCAAATTCTAAGGAGATATATTCTTTAGGTCCTTTTTGCTCTTTTTTTCTGAGCTTGATGGGAGTTTTACTGAGTCTTTGATTAGCTGTATTTCTTCTATGAGTTGCTTCAATTTAGGCCTTTAGTTCCATCAATAAAGTCATGATCTTTTTCTACTGTCTATTGTGTAAATGGTATAACAACATAATGGTGAAGTTCTTTTCTTATAGTTCTTGAATCTTAAGTTGTCAAGAGAGCATAAGCATAGTGAGGACAGTATTCTTAAGTTGATGGAAAGTTGGGAACCTTACCATTTTGGGGTGCTGACTGGGATTTGGGTTTGTTTGAATTCTGATCGGTTGGTTGCAGAGAATCATAATGGGTTCTTGGATGCATTCTTCTCTGTGCTCTCCTATGTCGTGTCTGTTCCATTCTACACAGGATTTCTTCCCATTCTGTTTTGGGTAAGAAAATTTTGATGTAAAAAAACCGATCTTTTTTTGTCTTGTTATGATCAGGTAACATCAGATTGTTAGGCTTTTCAAAGAATCAAAGGTGACAACAAATTCTAACAAGATCACCGCCGATGACCTTGCTGCTCATCTTGTTGATGTCTTGGTGAGAGCAATTGTTTGGGATCTGGTTGGATCTTAGTGTGAATATCACTAATGTTAAATTTCCTCCCATATTATTTTTAATTAGTTTATGCTTGCTAGGTGTTTGCTAAAATGATCTTGATGAGAAATGAGATGGGTCTCTTGATGTTCTTTGTTTTGATTTTTAGTTCATGTTTGCCGCAAGGGGAGAGTGTGCAGTGGGCAGAGAAATGAGATGGGTCTCTTGATGAGAGATGAAGGAGAAGGGCAAAATAGGAATAATGAGGAGAAAATGAAGAGGGAGTACTCAAAGTTCTAGCTACTTTGTTTTTGTTAAAATTGCGCATTCATGAGTCCCACTTGAAACAGGTGCTACTGATAAATTCCATGTTTTCAGGGGGTTACAATGCAAATGATAAATCCCATGTTTGTCAAATTATTACCAAAATTTGTGAATAATGTTTAAGATTGCTAGTTGAAGTTATGTTGGTGCCTGCCCAAAATTTAGCTTATCCAGAATTGAACAAGTCAACAGTTTAGGTATCAATGATACAAAATAAAATGCGATAGTCTGGTGTCTTTGTACATGCTGCTTTTTCATTTATTTAATTTTACAATGCAGATGTAAACATTGAGATGAAGTGTCTGGTTCAAGCACCAACATTGAGATGCAGATATTTGATAAATTTCGCGCCAATATACCATATTGAGGTAGCATTACCGCAAAGAATTAGGAATGTAAGAGGTATCTTAACTCAATGGGTAGCCGGGTGGGGGTTTAATTAGCAAGTATATAGAATTGGGTTGTAAATTTGCAAATATGTTGGTTTTGGGGTATCTATGTAAAAATCCTATATCCATATCAGTATATCACTTTAATAAGGATGAACCAAAGTCCTCTGGGTGTTGATGTTAATGTGGGTAAGTCTTGAAGGATGGCTATTTTAATTGTGGGCTTGGTGTTTTTTGTTTTATTATAAGAAGTATTATATGTCAAAACATAATTTTATGTAAATGAGATGGCTGATGGAATTACTCTTTTGGTGTCCATTGTACAGCTTATGATGAGGGTGGCGATGATTTGAATAGAGGATCTTCTCATCAACCTTTGTCTCAGGTGAATCTCTCTTTTTCAGCATTCAGTGTCATGCTTGCTTTCTAGCTATCTTGTCAAAGTTATTTTATGGACGTCAAAGTTATTTCATGGACATCTTGAAGGATGGCTATTTTATGGATGTTTTGTTGGCCTCAGTGTAATTTGTTTTTGAATAGTTAGTATATATTTTTTCCCCTTTTCTTACATTCGATCATTATTTTGATAAACTTCATGCTGTGTGTAAATCATTGGCTGTGATGACCAGCAACTAATCTTTATCAGTATACACACCTCTGTTAGTATTCTTAGTTGAGTTTGATTCTTAATCAATGGGAACTTATGCTCAATATAAGATGGAGAAATCATACATTTGGTTTTAATCTACAATGTAAGTAAAATGCCTATAGATCTCAGATACTTTGTAGGTTTCTTTCCTGCACGACTCAAGTTCATGTACAGTTGTTTATTTGATAACTATTCTGTAGAATGTGCAAGATCATTATGTTAATAACATCACTGATGCATAATCCATGAAGAATTTTATCGGGTATGAACACTTGTAAAGTTCATTATTTTGGGATTGTTTTCTTCTATCGACTCAGTTATAGATTTAGCCTTTCTATTGTTGGTTGTATCCTTTTAGTCTCTGAGAGCAAATTGTCTCTTCATTTGATTAGGTGAATGAAGGTCAAAATTCAGGTGGAAAGGGCCGAGAAATCTCAGTAACTGGGGCAAATTCCAGTGAAGAAGCGAACACTGCTCCAGTGTTTCCCCAGCAGGATGGAATCCATGATGAATATGATAATGTATTTTTTTTACATAAGATAGTTCTTTATTTCTGCTTATGAGTAATTTAGCCTAATATTTTGTGAGAATTAGAAAAGAAACTAGTGTTTTCATGTGACGTATCCAACAAGCTATTGTAGTGTTATCTTCTATGATTCATGACTGCGGTTTCAACGGGTGGCATGCCTCTGGTAGACCTATTTGCCGATGCACTAACATCCATTGTAAATAATTTATATAAAAGTTTGTAAACAATTTATGTATTATTTGAATATAATTGGATTTGATATTGGAATATAATTAGATTGTGTTGGATACCCATATAATTTGTTGTTGTTCAATATTGTTTACATGCATTCAAAGTTGATTCTGCAATAAAAAACACTGTAGCATATCATTCTAGATGAAAATTCCGTCTAGAATGCTCAAAATTCCATTTAGGATGCATATTTTTTAAAAATAAAAATAAAAAAAACATTCTAATAGGAATTTCCGTCTAGGATGAGTATCCTAGACAGAAATTCCGTCTAGGATGTTTTGGATATCCTAGACGGAATTTTCGTCTAGGATATCTATCCTAGACGAAATTTTTTTCCGTCTAGGATAGATGGTTATCCTAGATGGAAATTCCGTCTAGAATAATCCGTCGATGATTATCTTAGACGATTTTGAATTTCGTCTAGAATAATCCGTCTAGGATGTATTCTAGACGGAATTTTCGTCTAGAATACTACATCCTAGACGGAAACTTCCTAGACGCGTATCCTAAACGGAATTCCATCTAGGATACTCATCCTAGACGGAATTCTGATTTTCCTAGACGGAATTTTCCGTGTAGGATACCTCGTTTTTTACTTATGACCTCTTCTTGGAGCCGAATTGAAGCCTAGAGTAAGCTCACAAAGCCCAAAAGCCCAAGAAAAATCTAGTCAATGACGTCAACAAAGTTTGTTAGAAATATATTGGAAACTAATCGATTCACTAATCGATTAGTTTACAACAGAAGTGATCAATAGTTGATTTTAGTATTTTTTTTGTCCAAGTTTGATCCAAGGGCTATGCTTGATTGCTGTAGGCTATTAATAGGGATAGAAAGTGAGGGTCATGTGATATATAAAATTTTATGAACTCCATTTGGATAGGAGGGTTATCCTAAATTAAGAAGAACTTTTAAAATTATAAATTTTGGTTTGTAATAAATAAAAAAATTCTTCTTTTTAATTTGTGTTCTTCTTTTCTTTTAATGATAAAGATGAAGCTTTGCTTCACTAGAAGTAAGCCAATCCCTTGGAATGTAAGTTCTACTTTTCCTCTTTTATATTCTTATTTTAGAATTACATGTTTTAGAATTTTAATTCTTATTTTTATATTCATATTTTGTAGTATAGATTTATTGCTTTGTGGTGGAAATTTTTTTTATGTTTTATAGTGTATATTTATGTTCTTACTCTTTTATTTCATGCTTTATAGTGTAGATCTTTTTTATTTTTTATTTTCTTGTTTTGTAGTTTAGATTTATTTCCTTCCATGTTTTGTAGAGTATATTTTAGTTCTTCATTTTTTATTTGCAATATGAACATTTGCAATATGAGTAACTAATTCTTATAAAAATTCTAAATTTTGATAAAACTAGTTTAACTTCCTTTTGGTTCTTGAATTGCTCTCTTTTGTGCTTAAAATAATCATATTTAGGATAATTAACTAGAGAGCTAACTGATTGAAAAAGAATTTGATAGGTTGTACTTATCTTAAATCGTTTGATTGTATATGCGTTTCTATTCTAGGGTAACTATCTAGTTAATTATTTCTATTCATGAATAGTAATATTGATTGAATATGTTTTGATAGATTATACTTGTTTTTAGTAACTTGATAGTTTATGCTTAGTAATTCAAAGTAATATGAGAGTAAAAAGAAAGTAATTCTTAAATTCAAATTGAAATTAACTAGAGGATTCAATTCTAAAATCGTAGTCTTTTTACTTGCTTTCCTCCATCTTCTTATTTGCTTCTTGTTTTGATTTGATTTTCTTTTATTTGTTCTTCTCTTTCTATCATTCTTCCTTCTTGTTTTAGTGTTTTTTTATTGATGACAAAGTTCAACCCAACCAACTTCTACACTTTCATTCTTTCCAACACATTTTAATAACCCTATTGGAAATCTCTTTCTAATGCACTCCTTCCCCATGGATTGATGTTTTATACTATAACTTAATTATTGTGCATTTTGCGACATTGTGTTTTTATTTGCATCAATTACACAATATCTTTGAAGTTGTAGTGAGAGTTGAGAAGTATAATTTTATATTCTAAGAAAAGATATATAATAATTAAGGAATAGTTAATTATTATGTGAAATGTAGACACTATACAATAGGGCTGTCCATCCGGGCTCGGGCCGGGCAAAACCGGAGCCCGGGCCCGGGCCTAAGCGGGCCGGGCTCCGGGCCGGCACGGGTTTTTTGTTTTATTTTTTATTTTTTAATTTTTTAAGAAAACAAAGTAAAAATAAACACAATTTTGATAAAAAATTATATTATTAATCAATTGTAATTATGTAATTTACCAATATAAAAAATTATGGAAATTAAAATGATAAAATGATATAAAATAATTAGAGATTTTATAGAAACAAACAAAATTAAAAATAATTGTAGAATTCAAAAAGCCCAATCAAAGACCTCTAAATATATATGTTGTGGCTAGGATTTGAATCACTAACCTCCTTTCAAAACTCCTAAATTTTACCACTAGACTAAGTAGCTCAAAATATTCATGTCATTCATATATTATACATAAAAAAATTGTAAATACTTATAGAAATTACCTAAAAAAAATTTATTATACATAAACATATATATAAGAGTATAAATATATATATATATATACACACACACAATATAAATATACCATTAAACATTGGTATTTAAGTATATTTATATAGGTTATTATATATACAATTATTTATACATATATAAGGAGGATATATTACTATATATCTTATATAAGAGAAGTGTATATTTTACAATATTTATTATATAAGAGATATATCATATTATAGAGGGAGTTATATTATACATTATAATAATCTATATAAGAGATACATACTATTAAGAGAGAATCTTATATATTATACTTATCTATTATTTATACATATATAGAGAGAGTATACTTATAATATATATACTATTATAAGAGTAGATACTTATATACTATATATACAAGGGTATTATATATATAAGAGAGAATATATGTATATTCTTATATTATATATTATATATTTATATAATATATTATATATATATATAATTATATATATACTATATTTTATTTATATATATATATAACTATTATATTATATATATATATATATTATATACATGATATTATATATGAGAAATATGGAGAAACTTGCTAACCAAGTTCTCCATTTGAACCTGGATTAGTGAGAGTGGCAAAATTCTCACCCTACATTCACACCCTTAAATAGAGAGCCTCAATTACTTTCACCTGTACTTTTAAAATAGGCTCCAATTTTCAAGCGTTGTGATGTAGGGGGGATGATTTGCCACCTCACTACCAAAGCTTCAATGCCCCAAGAACTTGCTACCATCAAGTTTCTCCATATTTCTATTATATATTTATACATAATTTTTTATATATATAATTTATATATATATATATATATATATTTATTTATATATATATATTATTATCTATATATATAATATATATATTTTTATACACATAAAAATAAAAAAATAAAAAATTCAAATTTTTTTACTTTCGGGCTCGGGCAGGCCGGGCCCGGATGTCTGGCCGGGTTTCGGTGGTGCCGTGTGATTCCGGCCCGCGGGCTGTTTGGAAGCGCCTCTATACAAGTTCTAATTAATTGAAACTACGTCCATTACTATTTCTTGACCAAAATAGCATATATATTCCAATAACAATCACACTCTTATTACAATAATTTTGAGTTAAGCACTATATGTGATCAAAATACTAAAGTACGATAACCCACACCATCTTTATTCTATACTTAAACATAACAAGTTACAAAGTTATCAATTTCTATGGACACTTAAGGCGGCCTCCATGGCCATGGGTGGTCATGCTCGTGTTGCACGGGCACACTTCTTGGTTGCCTGCGGTACCCGAAGGTACACAGTCTCAACTCTGACGACAATTGTTGCAGGCTCTTAAGCATAAGCATATGTTGTTCCTAGATGCTTGGCTACACCTATACGTGCATGCCAACCCACAATTTGCACGAACAAATAGTGTTAGAGTATAAAATTATAACTATCAATTCTCAATCCCTTCTATTGAGCTAATCTAAGGGTAAACATAGCTTGGGTGCAATGTTAAAATATTTGTTATGGACAACAAGGTATTTTATTAGTAGATAGAGCTTCAAAAGTATACCAGACCAACTCAGGTTCAAATCCCACTAGATATGAGTTTAATGTGAATTTAAAAGAAAAAGATATTATTCAAAAAATAAT